CACTCTATACATGCCATTCACAATCTTATAAACTTCTATTAGGTCGCTGCTCAACCTCCTGCATTCCAGGCTATTCAAGCTTTCTTCATAGTCAATGTCCCTGTACCAGGCAACATCCTGGTAAACCTTTTCTGTGCCCTCTCCAAAGCATCCACATCCTTCTGGTGATCAGAACTGTATGCAATATTCCACGTGTGGCCTAACAAAAGTTCTATACAGTGGCAGCATAACTTGTCCATCCTTATACTCAATGCCCCTTCCAATGAAGGCAAGCATACCACAGGCCTTTTTTTACTGCCTTATCTATCTGTGCTGCCACCTTCAGTGATCTGTGGACCTGCACACCCAGATCCCTGTGCATAACAATGCTCCTAAGGGTTCTGCCATTCACTGTAATAATTTCTACCTATACTTGACCTTCCAAAATGCATCACCTCATTTTTGTCTGGATAAAACTCCATCTGCCATTTATGTGCCCATGCCTCCAACTGATCTATATCCTCTGACAATCCTCCTCACTATCTGCAATGACAATCTTTGTATTGTCCGCAAACTTACTAATGAGACCAGCTATATTTTCCTCCAGATCATTTATGAAGATCACAAACAGCAGAGGCTCAGCACTGATCCCTGTGGGACACCACCAGTCACAGCCCTCCATTCCGAAAAGCATCCTTCCACTGCTACCCTCTGTTTCCTGTGACTAAGCCAGTTCTGTATCCATCTTGTCGGCTCACCCCTGATATAAGATGACTTCAACTTTTGTACCAGCCTGCCATGAGGGACCTTGTCAAAGGCTTTACTGAAGTCAATGCAGACAATGTCAACTGCTTCTCCCTCAATCACCTTTGCCACCTCCTCAAAAGACTTGATCAAGTTAGTGAGGCACGACCTCCCCACACAAAGCCATGCTGTTTATTGCTAATAAGTCAATTTACTTCTAAATGTGTATAGATCTTGTCCCTGAGAATCTTTTCCAATAATTTTCCTATCAATGACATGAGTACACAGGCCTGTAATTTCCAGGATTAACCCTGCTACCTTTCTTAAACAATGGGACAACACTGGCTATTCTCCAGTGCTCTGGGACCGCATCTGTGGCCAAAGAGGATACAAAGATGCCTGTCAATGCTCCAGCAATTTGTTCTTGTCTCCTTCAATATTCTGTGATAGATCCCATCAGGACTTGGGGACTAAATACTTTTTAAGACACACAACACCTCTTCCTTTTTAATCGCAACTTGGCTTAAAGGTTCCCCGAGATCATCCTCCACCAATTCTTTCTCTTTGGTAAATATTGACACAAAGTATTAGTTTAGGAGCTCACCCACCTCCTCTGGCTCCACACACAGATTCCACCTTTTGTCCTTGAGTCGGCCAACCCTTTCCCTGGCTACCCTCTTGCTTTTTATATATGTACAAGAAGCCTTAGAATTCTCCTTAATCCTGTTTGCTAATGACTTTTCATGACCCCTTCTAGCCCTTCTAGTTCCTTGTTTAAGTTCTTTCCTACTTTCCTTATATACTTCAAAGGCTTTGTTAGTTCCCACCATCCAAGACCTTATGTACACTTCCCTTTTCTTTTTGACCATGGTCATAACATCCCTGGTCATCCAAGATTCACGTAACTTGCCACACCTATCCTTCATTCTCGCAGAAACATGCCACTCCTGAACTCTTACCAACTTCCGTTTGAAGACCTCCCACATGTCCGATGTGGATTTACTCTCAAACAGCCGTCTCGAAACAATATTCTCCAGTTACTGCCTAATATTGTTGCAGAGTGCTTCCCCTAATTTAACACCTTCACCCAAGGACTGCTGTTACCCTGATCCAAGTATATCTTAAAACTCACAGTATTATGGTCACTACTCCCAAAATGCAAAACCCACCGAAAGTTCATTCACCTGGCCGGTTTGGATTAACTTGGATAAATGCGAGGTATTGCATTTGGTAAAAAGAACAACGGGAGGACTGAGACAGTTAATGGTAGGGCTCTGAGTAGTGCTGTCGAATAGAGAGACGTGGTGGTGGTGGTGGTGGTGGGGGGAAACAGTACATGGTCCTTTGAATGCTGCATCACAAGTAGACAGATGGTTAAGCAAGCTTGACTTCATTGCTCAGAACATGAAATAGAGGAGTTGGAACGTCACGTTGAGGTCATATATAGGATGTTGGTGAGGCTACTTTTGGAGTACTGTTCTGGTCACCTGCTATAGGAAGGACATTATTAATTGGAGAGGGTTCAGAAACGATTTTCAAGGATGTTGCCAGGAATGGAGTGTGGAGTGTCTGAGTTGTAGGGAGAGGCTGGATAGTCTGGGACCTCTTTCCTTGGAGTGTAGAAGTTTGAGGGGTGACCTTATAGAGATTTATAAAATCATGAGGGGCATAGATAAAGGTGAATAGCAAAGGTCTTTTCTCTAAGGTGGAGGAGTTCAAAAGTATGGGGCACATTTTAAGGTTAGAGGAGAAAGATTTAAAACAGACCTGAAGGGCAACTTTTTCACATAGAGGATGGTTCGTATGTGGAATGAACTGCAAGGTGAATTGGTAGATGCAGGTACAGTTGCAACATTTAAACAGGTACATGAATAGGAAAGATTTATAGGGATATGGACCAAATGCGGGCAAGTGAGACTTGTTTGTTTGGGAAACTTGGTCGGCATGGACGAATTGGACCGAAGGGTCTGTTTGCATATTATATAATTCTATACTACTTGCCCACCCATTCCACCAGCCTATATTTACTTGAGGTTCTATACAATACTCCTCACGGTTTATACTGTCAAGTTTCATATCCAGCACACATTTTGAAATTCATGAATGTACATAAGGAAGGGCAGCAGTCCTTACACTGACACCTGGGAAATTCCACCATAAACCTTCCTCCATTATGAAAAACAACAGTGTAACTTTTCCTGCCGATTTTGTATCCATATTGCTACTGTCCATTGTATTCCACAAACACTGACTGAGCTCACAAATCCGTTTTGTGGCACGTTATTAATGTCTTTCTGAAGTCGTCACATCACATCATAAGCATTATGTCGTTAAGGCTCTCTATTCCCCATCAAACGTCTCGAGCAAGTTAAACAAACATGGCTTTCAATTAAATCCATGCTGGCTTTGCTTAATGGACCTATAATTTGCCAAGTGACTACTTATTTTTTCTCCAATTATCATTCAATATTCAATGGATGTGACTGTGATCTCACCATAGGCTGGAGAATGTGAGAGGCCTGTGTCACCTCTTTTAGGGAAGGCCCAAGATATTTAAGTGCCAGTTACACATTTAACAATAGGCTGGCCCTGGGGGAGAGCTCTTTGTGGGCCCCTATTTCTTGTTTGGTCATTCATTGGCTGGCGGGATCATTGGTTGGCTCTGCACTAATTGCCCATCTCTAAATGGTCATTGAGAAGACGATGGTGAGCATTCTTGAACATCTGTAGTGTATGTGGTATAGGTACACGCACAGCGCTGTTGTGGAGCAAGTTCCTGGATTTTGACCAAGTGATAGTGAAGAAGCGGTGGTACAATTCTGTCAGGATGGTGTGCCACCTGGAGGGGAAATTGGCACTCCAATGCATTTGCCCTTGCCCATTTAGGTGGTGAGGTCGTGGGTTTGAAAGTTACTGCCAATGTAGCCTGGTAAGTTCCGAGGTGCATCTTATTGATGGCACACACTGCTGCCATTGTGTATCAGTACTGAAGGGAGTGAAAATTTTAAGGTCTGGATGAAATGCCATTCAAGTGAGCTGCTTTGTCTCAGATGATGTTGAGCTGCTTGGGTGCTGTTGAAGCGCACTCAGTCAAATGAAGGGTATCCTATCACACTCCTTGTAGAATGACAGACATGGGCAGTCAGGAGTTGAGTTCCTTGTAGCAGAATTCCTAGCCTCATACCAGCTCTTGTAGACACAGTGATTCTATATCAGATGCAGTTCAATTTCTGGTCATTGGTGACCTCCAAGATGATGACAATACCAGGTCCTTTGATCAAGCACCAAGGGCCTTTAATGTTCCCCTTTCACCCAATTCACTGTGGAGGAGAGCATTAAATTCAGCTTCCCTACCACCAGGGTTAAAATGACCTCTCTGCAGTTGCTGGGCCGGAACTTACCACCTCTATTTTGTAACATTTTCAAATCTCCAGTCCTCTGGTACAACACTGAATTTATTACAGGTTGGAAAATGATGGCCACTCCCTCTGCAATTTCACTTTCGCTTCCTTCCGTATCCTTGGCACATTTCATCTAGTCCTTTTTTTTAAAATTAACTTTAAGTAAACAGCCGATTCAACAACGCCTCCTTATCAATTTTATTCCTTCCAGTATCTGGTATTAAGTCATTAAAAAGGCCTGACATCAAAATTAAATCAAAAAGCATTGGAATGATTTTGCAAAGAATTATTGTATAGAACAGTAGAATGGGGGGAGTAGTGTTAAAAATAAAGAACGGGGCAGGATGGACAGCTTCAAATAGTCACAGTTTTAAATAAGAAGTAGTCAGTTAGAATATAAAAGTCAACTAAAAATTATTTCAACTAATAGTTCTTTTAGGTGCAATAGACTTCCTTATATCACTAACGTCCTTTAGGAAAGGAAACTGTCATCCTTACCTTGTCTGGCCTACATGTGATGCCAGACCCAAAGTAATGTGGCTGACTCTTAACTGCCCTCGGGGTTGTTAGGGATGGGTAATAAATGCTGGTCTAGCCAGTGATACCCTCATCTAATGAGTGAATTCAAAAAAGTCCAAGAACTCAACTGAATGGATTAACTCAAAATCTTTACTTTCATCTACTAACTAAATTGTACATTATTCCAGAGAACATTAAATGACAAATATGAGCTCAGTCTTCTAAAATTAGTGAAAACAACAAGCAAGGTTTTGTAACCATTTGCCTAGAATGAATCTGACATGAGAACTTGAAATTTAAAAGACAAATATAAGGGTTATTAAATGTAAGGCTGGCAAGACTTCAAAGTGGTTTTACCTTGAAATTAGGAATTCTGTGATGAACGGGTCTTGGGAAGTTTGCCAAATTGTTTGCTTCCATATAATCCCAAACTTTCTGGCGAACGTCCCACTTGGAGACACCTAGAAAAAAATTTTTGAAGATTTTCAGGTCCAATACATCATTTCAGAAATAATATAACTGTCTTATCTTTGTTGCTGTTAGAGACAAAGTAGTTCACAATCATGACACGCAGAATTTACATACCATTACTCAGAGGAGGCAGAATGTAAATACGTGATGCAGGTAGACAATACAGTTTTTACTGCTGCTTCATAATCTGCTGTACTTTAGTAGATGGAAATTTGATTATTTGCACTTAATTTTGAAAAGTTCATTTTTATTCAATGATTAAAAAGAAAATTAGACATTGACCAGGATGGCTTTCTTAAACATTTTCTGCTTATCACAATCTTTCAAAGTATAAATTCAATTAAAATCAAAATGAAACACTTTTTTTGTACTTACAACCACAGATTGCTACTCTGCAGATGATAATCATTTTTTAATGCAAGGTTGTGCTCACCGAACTATTTCCCAGCATCATTTCACCCAGTCTATTTCCAAGTATAATCTTTTCTTCTCTTCCATCACATATTTTATATGAACCTAAAAGTCTAGTGAATTTACAGTCAAAGGCTGCAAATTAATTCCAGAATTTTTTTGGATGTTCATAATCCAGAACAATTTCTAGGAGCTCCATTCTCACGCACAATATTATGATCTAAATCCCATGACTGAATGCAAGTCCATTGCATTCATTATGTACAGGCTGTGCTATGTGAAGATATCAGAAGCAGAAAGCTTGACATCTCATTACTTGCATTTACAAACGTAAGGAACACTCCAGGTGACATCAAATCAACATAGCATCATCCGTCAACATGTCTAACTCACACTTTTTAACTATTACCTGCAAGCGAGAAATTTGAAAACAGAATATTTTATTCTTCTTGATTAGTCTTTATTGAAATCAGAATATTAACTATATTAACTATTAACAATAATTATCGAGAGAGACGACTGGTGGTGAGTTTAAACGGAGGGTCACATGCCTCCGGAGACAAGTGAGGTTAAGAGAGAGAGTCCTTCATGGTGTCCTCAGCCGGTGTAGGAATAGAACCCACACTGTTGGTGTCACTCTGCACTGCAAACAAGTTGTCCAACCATCTGAGCTAACCAACCCCCATCCATGTATTGTAAATTCATGAGTAATACCATGCAAGATCCACTATTCCCAAAGATGTAGAGATTGAGCACGACAGCATGATTTGAACTCATTTCAGATCATATCTATAAATTGCACACTTCTCTCATCAGTTTAATCCTTAGATTAATTTTAAAAACAGACATGCATTCGGCACCAGTGGCTTAAACAAGACAAACCATCTGTATAAACCATGAATAAGGTATAATACCTATGATTGGTAGAGTCAGTTTGCATGAAATGACTCATCTCCCATTTGGTCTCTTTCTACAGGTACAGGACAGATGCAAAAATAAAGATTATTTTGAGCTATTTATCAGCGGGATTTACAAAGTGTACTGGGTTAGTCCCAGGCTACTGACAGCCGTCTTTTTCAGATTTAAGTTCGATGAGTGAAGATATAAGGTTTCAAAACTATCACCCAGATGTTGTGTAGGAAAATAGTAACAGAAATTTTTGAAAAAACCATCGAGGAGCTCACAGTTTGGAACTGTCTTCCAACTCCTTTTATCAAACAGAATTGCATCATAGAGGCCATTCAGCCCAGTACTTTCAAAGAACTATCTAATTAGTCTCACATATTTTTGTCTGTTTTCAGTTGTTCATCTAATTCACTTTTGACAATTATTGTTGAATATGATTACACCATCCTTACAGACAGTTGATTTCCTGGTCACAGCAACTCAGTACAAATCAGAAAGTTATTATTTCTCTTCTGGTTCTTTTGCTAATTGCCTTCAAACCCTGTCCTTGCTTTACTTACCCTGCTGCCACTGGAAATAGTTTTTCCTCATTTACGACCTCAAAAACCATCATCATTTTAAAACCCTTTTCAATTTTTCCATAAACCTTCCCAGGTCCACAGCTTAATCTTCTCTTGACTCTGCTCATAATTAATCAATACAATACAATACAATACAATACAGCACAGCACAGGAACATGCCCTTCAGCCCATCAAGGCTGCGCTGATTCTAATCCTTATTTAGACCCGCTAAATATCGTCCATGTGCGATTTCTATCCCTCTGTTCACCTCCCGATCATATGTCTATCAAGGTACGCCTTAAACGTTGCTAATGTGCCTGCTTCCACCACCTCCACTGGCAGTGCATTCCAAGCACCCACCACCATTTATGTGGAAAACTTTCCATGCACTTCTCCCCTAAACCTACCCCTCTCACCTTGAACTTGTACCCTCTTGTAGTTGACCTTTCCACCGTGGGAAAAAGCCTCTGACTATCCATCCCGTCAGTAAAGCGATGGAAGGTGCCATCAACAGTGCTATCAAGCAGCACCTGCTCAGCAATAACCTGCTAAGTGATGCCCAGTTTGGGTTCTGCCAGGACCACTCAGCTCCTGATCTCATTAAAGCCTTGGTTCAAACATGAACAAAAGAGTGAATTCCAGAGGTGAGGTGAGAATGACAGCCCTTGGCATCAAGGCTATGTTCAACTGAGTGTGGCATCAAGGAGTCCTAGCATAACTAGAATCAATGGGTATCGAGGGGGAAACTTTCCAGTGGTTAGAGTCAGACCTGACATATAGGAAGATGGTCATTGTTGTTGGAGATCAATCATCTCAGCTCCAGGATATATCTGCAGGAGTTCCTCAGGGTAGTGTCCTTGGTCCAACTAGGAAATTCTGAGAAAGGGTCACTGGACCCAGGAAATGTTAACTCTGATTTTTTCTTCACAGATGCTGCCAGACCTGCTGAGCTTTTCCAGCAACTTCTGTTTTTGTTCTTGCTGCTAATGTGATCACTGCAGCTCGCAATGGGAACTGTCAACTCCCATATCATACAGCTACAGCACATCACCTGCCCAGCCATTTCTATTGAATTGCTTCGTTAATTACATTCGCAACTCCTCAGACACTGAAGCAGCCTGTGTCTAAATGAAACAAGATCTGGACAATATCCAAGCTTGGGCTGACAAGTAACATGCGCACCACACAAATGCCAGGGTAAGACCGTCACCAATAAGAGACAATCTAACCACCGCTCTTTAACAATCAATGGTGTTACCATCACTGATTCCTGCACTATCAGCATCCTGGAAGTCATCATTGATCATAAACTCAACTGGACTCACCACATAAATGCATTGGCTAGACGAGCAGGTCAGAGGAATACTGCAGTGAGTAATTCACCTCCTGACTCGCCAAAGCCTGTCCACCATCTACAAGGCATAAGTCAGGAGTGTGGTGGAACATTCCCCACTTGCCTGGATGAGTGCAGGCCCAACAACACTCAAGAAGCTTGACACAATCCAGGACAAAGCAGCCAGCTTGACTGGTACTGCATCCACAAGCATCTACCCCCACCACCACCGCTGCTCAGTAGCAGCAGTGTGTACTATCTACAAGATGCACTGCAGAAATGCACCAAAGATCCTCAGACAGCACCTTCCAAACCCAAAACCACTTCCATCTAGAAGGACAAGGGCAGCTGACATTTGGGAACACCACCACCTTCAAGTTCCGCTCTAAGTTACTCACTATCCTGACTTGGAAATATATCACCGTACCTTCACTGTCACTGGGTCAAAATCCTGGACTTCCCTCCCTAATGGCATTGTGGGTCAATCAACAGCAGGTGGACTGCAGCAGTTCGAGAAAGCAGGTCATCACCACCCTCTCAAGGGCTACTATGGATGAGTATTAAATGCTGGCCAGCCAGCGATGCCTATATCCCACAAAATGAATTAATAAAAAAAGGAAAATAAAATTACCTCTCATAATTTTGTAGACCTTTATCAAGTCACCTTTCAGCCTACTTCTTTCCAGTGAAAACAATCTAAGTTTATCCAACCTCTGCTCACAACTAAAACCCTCCAGACAAGGTGACATCTGGTAAACTTTCTCTGCATGTTTTCCAAAGCATCCACATGCTTCTGTTGGTGTGGCAACCAGAACTGCATGCACTACTCCAAATATGGCCTGACTTAAGTTATGTACAGCTGGAACATAACTTGCCAACTTTTACGTTTGATGCCCTGGCCAATGAAGGCAAGTATGCTCCACATATAACCTCCTTCCTTTATCCATGAGTGGGCCTACAAGTTACTCCAACATCAGTAACGCAGAAGACACCAGTCTAGAATGAGCATGTGAAGAGTGTGATCTTAGACACTACACTAGAGAGTTGTAATTGATAAACTACTGCATACTGATGTAAAGAAAGGAGTGTTACAGCATAGAAAGGGGTTGAAGAGCCTAACTTTGTGCTAGTGAACAAAAAACGTCAGGGACAGTGTTCGCCCACAGCCTGAAATACTCCAGACAGGTATCTCAGTATGCAGCAAACAGTATTGGCTTAAAACACAAGATAAAGCATTAACTTCAAGAACAGCACATGAAACAGGGCGTGCTTCATTAAACTTCATTAAGAATGAAGAATTCGGGGGGAGGATGTGCAGAAAAAGAGAATGACATAAAGATTTTTACTGGCAGAGTTCAAAAGAAAGCAAAGCAAATTTTAGAAGTTTAATTGGGCCAAAATCATTGGAAGAAAAGTTAAAAGTATTTGAAGGAATTTGGTATAGTTACAAACAAAACTGTAGTTTTGACCAGTGATTGTAAAGAATCATCTCCCACATAATTGGCACTTTTCCAGTAAAGTTTTAAAAACATTTTAAAATGCATAATCTATTTTAGATTGAGTCCCCATGATCTTTATCCGTGTTTTAAAAAAAAAAATCACCTGAAGGAACCTGGATAGGCCCCCACAGAAAAA